CGCAGCCACTGGAGCGTTCGGTGGAGCTCCCCATGGAGCCACCCACGAAGCGTGTGAGGGGTGTGCCGAAATGGGGGGCGGGACCGCACGCGAGCGCAGCCACTGGGGCCTTCGGTGGAGCTCCCTATGGGGCCACGAAACGTGTGAGGGGTGTGCCAGAATGGGGGGTGGAACCGCATGCGGGCGCAGCCACTGGGGCCTTCGGTGGAGCTCCCTATGGGGCCACGAAACGTGTGAGGGGTGTGCCAGAATGGGGGGTGGAAGCGCATGCGGGCGCAGCCACTGGGGCCTTCGGTGGAGCTCCCTATGGGGCCACGAAACGTGTGAGGGGTGTGCCAGAATGGGGGGTGGAACCGCATGCGGGCGCAGCCACTGGGGCCTTCGGTGGAGCTCCCTATGGGGCCACGAAACGTGTGAGGGGTGTGCCAGAATGGGGGGTGGAACCGCATGCGGGCGCAGCCACTGGGGCCTTCGGTGGAGCTCCCTATGGGGCCACGAAACGTGTGAGGGGTGTGCCAGAATGGGGGTGGAACCGCATGCGGGCGCAGCCACTGGGGCCTTCGGTGGAGCTCCCTATGGGGCCACGAAACGTGTGAGGGGTGTGCCAGAATGGGGGGTGGAACCGCATGCGGGCGCAGCCACTGGGGCCTTCGGTGGAGCTCCCTATGGGGCCACGAAACGTGTGAGGGGTGTGCCAGACCGCGGGCGGGCGCAGCCACTGGGGCCTTCGGTGGAACTCCCTATGGGGCCACGAAACGTGTGAGGGGTGTGCCAGAATGGGGGGTGGAACCGCATGCGGGCGCAGCCACTGGGGCCTTCGGTGGAGCTCCCTATGGGGCCACGAAACGTGTGAGGGGTGTGCCAGAATGGGGGGTGGAACCGCATGCGGGCGCAGCCACTGGGGCCTTCGGTGGAGCTCCCACGAAGAGGGGTGTGCCAGTGTGGGGCGTCTGTGGATGGGGGGTGGAACCGCATGGGGCGGGCGCAGCCACTTCGGTGGGTGTGAGCCACCGCATGCGGGCGCAGCCACTGGGCCTTCGGTGCCACGAAACGTGTGAGGGGTGGCGCAGCCACTGGGGCCTTCGGAGGAGCTCCCTATGGGGCCACGAAACGTGTGAGGGGTGTGCCAGAATGGGGGGTGGAACCGCATGCGGGCGCAGCCACTGGGACCTTCGGTGGAGCTCCCTATGGGGCCACGAAACGTGTGAGGGGTGCGCCAGAATGGGCATGGGAGGGGGAGGAGGGGGGAGAAAAAGGGAGGAGGAGGAAGGAGGAACGCGGGGCGACGTCTCTTCAAAACGAGGACCCAACACCACTAGGATGGTTGGGAAAAAGGAAACCTTAAGGGCAAAATCGGACAGGACAAGGCGGGGGTCAGCCAAGACCGGAGGTGGCGCAGCCGACACTTAGGATGGGGCAGCTGGCCCACACGGCCACGCATCCCTCCAACCGCACAAAGCGAGAGGCGAAGGCCACGCCTCCGCAGATCCCGATCAATCTCGATCCCGAGCCGAATCGGACAAAGGGTGGCGACCCCCGAGGCACTCCGAAGGGCTCATATACGTTCCAAACATCGTGCCATCAGGGAAAAAGTGCCCTGGAACAGGGCCCTGGGCCGCACCGGGGTGGCGCGACCAGAAGTTAATATGCTGGGCAACCTCTGAGCCGCCTGAAAGAAGAGAGAGCGCCCCCCTGCCAACGCGACTACGCGGCGGCCGGGGGGGCAGGCTGCGGCGAAATAATATCGGCCCGCTCGCGAGCATCAGAAGAGGGGAAAACACACACACACACACACACACACACACACACACACACACACACACACACACAACAAAAACAGCAACAAAAAAAACTACGTCTCCGCCGTCGCCAGGAGCCAGGGGGCGGGGGAGAAATCACACAAAGGGATCTGGCACCACCAGCGGTGCAACGCATGTGCACACATGCCACTGGATCCCCACCGATCCGAAACAGGGTTGATGCACGGCCGTGCTCTAGGATGCAGTTGACATGCGTGGCGCGGTACGGCTGTCGGCGGCGACGCGATCCCAAGATCCGCTACAAACAAACATTCCATGGTGGTTTGGTGCAGCCAAACCGCCGTGCAACGTCAGTTTGTTCATCCGTTGACAGCAGCACACGTCGCGGCAGCAGAACGCACTAGCGCGCGCGGGCATGCAGGGCCGGCGATGTGGCTGGCCAGCTGCCAGCGCGAATTCGGCAGCAGAGCCGAAATCCACGTGGGATCGTTTTGGGCGCGGTATCCGGCGCCGCTGCATCGCACTGCCAGGCGCCGCGGCCTTGCGATTGTAGCGCCAGGCCCCGCGCGCTCCTCGAGGCGGGAACGCAAGCTCTACGCAAAGGAATCGCGCGTGCTCTTGCGGGGGGCGGCGAAAACGATCGTACGCAAAGGAAATTCCTTCGCGCGCCCCCCGCGCTGACAGCGCAACCAGACCGCACACAAAGGAATTACGCGAGACTTCGTAGCACACACAGGAATTACAGCAACGCCTTTTGGGTTGCGCTCTTCGCGCCGGCGACAGCTCCGAGCTGGAAAGGATAGGGGGGCGGGACAAGGCAAAGAAAAGGAAGAAGAGAAGGAAGAGGAGGGCGAGAAAGAAGTGAAGGAAGCAACGGAAAGAAACCAGGATGCGCGCAAGCGAAGCTAACGCTTCGCGTCAAGACAGTTGCTCGTTCGTTCGGTTGGCCGCGCAGCAGATGAATAGAAAGAGACTTGTTTGCTGCATATCGAAGGGACTTCTTGGGAATGAGACTCGCGCTCTCTTCCCAACCCCCTTCCCCGCGCCCCGCTGCGAGCGCGCGACGATGTGTTCTGGCCCGCGGGCAGAGGACTGCCAGTTGCTGGTGAGCGGCCTTTCCACCCGTCACGCGTTCCGAACAAATGCGACCAGCTAAGCGAGCTTGCCACGCAAACTGCCAGCTCCAAACACCAGCGCCACCCCGATCCCCGCATCCGTGCCAGGCACCCTCTCAACGACGCCCCCTTCCGGCGTAAAACAAATAAAACCATGTGTTTATGTGTTTGTCCTGCTCTGAGTCGCAGGCGCCTCCGTCGACAGCCCAGCCCCTGGAACAGCACCCGCCACACATTCGCCGTCCCCGGCACTGGAAACTGCCGCACCAGCAGCGCCATGACGACCGTCAGCAGCAGGATCCTGAGAGCCACCAGCAGCCGCGGCAGCGTCATCACCGGCTCACGTTTCGCGCGTCTTGCCCTGCAGGCGTTGCTGAGCCAAACGCTGCTCTTCACGGAAACGGTCAGCCTGCTTCTTCGCGTCCGCGAATGAATCCGAAACTGCCTCGCACAATCCATCCTGTAGCGCTGCAACACGCTTCCCGGTTTCCTCGAGCTCCTCCGCTGACAGCTCGTAATCGTCGGCCTTGAGCTGGATGAGGGACTCGAATTTAATCGGTACCTCCTTACCAGCAACAAAGTCGTCGATGGACAAGCAAGCGACCGAACCAAGCGATGCCTCACGACGAGCTTCGCCTCCCACATGAGCATGGAATCGTTTGACCAGCGACTTGTGATCCGCCTCCGCCGACTCGAGCTCTGCCGACAAACCCGCCACTCTCTCCGTCTGTTCACGAAGCTGCTTCTCCGTGGACTCGAAGGCCGTGACAGCTTTGCTGAGCCTCGCTTCGACCGACCGCATGGTATGAAAGGCGCGAATGACTTGTTGCTGGAACGGCAATTCCGAGCAAGCCGTGATCTCGGCCTGCTTGGCGACCACCTTGGCCTGGCAGCGAGCCACTCCTTCAGCGTCCCCGACCGCCTGAAGCTGCACGAAGAGGATGAGCACCGCCAGCTTGAGGCGCACACGTCCCCCGCTGCTGCCAGGACAGCTGGCCAGGCGGCGGCGCGGTGCCCCACACACCCCTAGCAGGGGGCGGTGAGGAGAAGCTCGGGGCCGATCGGGGCTGGCAGCAACTCTTGCACTGCAGCCAGTCCGCCGTGTTCATCTTGCAACCACATCGGCAACACACCCACTTGCCGCCACCGCCAGAAAAGCCAGCTGCAGGGATGGGAGGAGCGCCCGCCACACCACCGCCACCAGGATGGAGGCGCTGGTGCAGGAGATGCTGCTGCTACCGAACAAGCCGACCAACATGCCAGGGCGCCATTGCACCGAGGCCGTCTTGAAGCATGAATGCGGGTTGAGATCCGGCGAAGTGCGAAAAGTAGACAGAGCCAGATAGGCCCGCAACAGATGTATGCCGTCCTGAGTACTAGCTGCTGCAAAGCGCAGGGCGAGGGGGAGGAGGGCGAGGGGGAAGAAGAGGGGGAGCAGGGCGAGGAGGGGGAGGAAGGGGGGGAGGGGGGGGGGCAGGCTGGATGGGGGGAGGAGAAGGTGGGAGGAGGAGGCGGGAGGAGGAGGGCGAGGGGGAAGGAACAGGAATGAGAGTACCCCCGAGGCACCTCACGACCCGCCCGCTTGAAGAGAACACGCAGGGAGCCTGGGCCCTCCGTTGGGGGCTGCAACACGCAAGCGTGCAGCCCAACACCGCAAGACGCAGGCTGGCACAGGCCCAGTCGGCGCACCTGGGCTCGCGCAGCCTGTTGCTGCCACCATCGGCACCATCCGCAGGGCAGAAGAGGAGGAGGAGGAGGAGGGCGAGCGGCCGATTGTCTGCCTCCTGCGCTACAAGCTTGGACGCGCTGGGCGCTCAAGCAAGGCAGGCATCGGGGCGGGCATCGGCAGCGGCTACATGCCCAGGGCATCCTCTTGCATTGGTCCACGCAACGTGGCGCTGAAAGTCCGCATGGGGGAATCATTATCTCAGGCGCGGCCGCTAGCCACTTTTACAACGGGGCGCACGATTTGGGAGAGACTTCCGGCCCTGGGGGTCTCCACACCTGTCCCTGCACCAGCCGCTGGATGGGGAGGGACGGCGAGTTGGGAGGACGGAGAGAGAGGCAGGAGGGACGGAGGGGGCAAACCCACTCGACAGGGACAAAAGGGCCACCGCAGACTGGCCTGCTCGCACAGCTCGCGGCTCGGCGTGAGGATCACGACGTCTGGGGCGTACTTGGCCCAGCTCCTCGGCCGCGCTCGCTGCGCCGGCCAGCCCAATTCCTCCCTCCCTCCCTCCCTCTATAAGGATTCCACCATAACGCGTAATGAAGTCGACTCCCCTCTCTCCCCTGACTCTGTCCGGAAGATGTCTGGGCCTCTCCGCGTGTCGTGCTTTCTAGCACACAAGATTCCAACCATGGGTTTCATGCTGGTGCTTTGCCGTCCGATGGGTTCCGGTGTTTCAGAGCGGTGGTCCCGCTGAACGCGTGGGCCTCATTTGTCAATTGGCGCTTTGCTTCAGCCGTTCAGAATAGCGCTCTCGCCCCAACGCGGGTCAATATTCTGGATCCGAATCTTCTTCACATCGTTGTCACCCACCTTTCATTCCCCCTTCTCCGCCGTCTCCTGGTCCTCCTGCTCCTCCCGCTCCTTCCACTCCAGCTCCTGCTCTTGCTGCTGCTGCTGCTGCTGCTGCTGCTGCTGGTCGTCCTCGTCATGATCCTGTCTCCTCCTCCTCCTCCTCCTCCTCCTCCTCCTCCTCCTCCTCCTCCTCTTCCTCCTCCTCCTCCTTTTCCTGTTCCTCCTCCTCCTCCTCCTCCTCCTCCTCCGCCTCCTCCCACCTCCTCGTCCTCGTCTGTACGCAGCTCCCCGTTTTTTTTCCGATTGCGCATAACACGATAGGGGTCCTTTGGGGAATACCAGGTCCACTATCACACGCGTCGTCAAGTACAGGAAAAAAATCGCTTCATCGGAAAGAACGGGTGGGCTGGTAGGATGCCAGAGATGGCGCGAGCGAACCTGGCCTGTCTTCGCCCCCTCTCCTCGCTCCTTTCTCAGCCTCACCATCCCTCAGATCCGGGCGATGCAAAAGAAAATCGCGACGGCCAGCTTTTCCTCGTCTTCGGATTCTGGAAGCTGCTCCCTGGCCCCAGGACCGTCCACAAAAACAACTCTGGGTGAAAATCTGGCCCCCGGGAGGTGGTCGAAGGCGCGGGGAGCCGACGTCATACAAAAATTGCAACGTCGGAAGGGGGGGGGGGATCCCCCGCACCTCCACCCAAGTCACCAGTCCATCCCATCGCCGTCCCCACACGTCGCCTCCCCCAGTCCCCTGCCCTGTTCTACGGAACCTCCTCTTCGCCATCAATCACCCCCCCTTTCCGTCCCCCCCCCCGCTCCACACCCACCGGCAACTTCAACAGTTCCCCGCCTTCCCCGCCTCCGCCTCCGCCTTTGCCTCCTGCTTGTACGCAGCAAATGACGGCAAGGCCCTCAGGGAGAACGTGGGCGTAACATGGAGATCCCGGGCGGAACCTTCGATCTAGTAGGGGGCGAACGTCGAATTGGGCACATACACGTCGCAGCCACAAACACCTCGGCCCCGAAACACAAAAAACAGCCGACCACCACGACCGAAGCGCACATTTCATCATGTATGCGTGTCAATCGTTTGCAGGGGCTACATAGCTAATATGATGTGACACTCGGGCACCACGACAGAAGCAAGTATGCTTGTGGGGCAGGGACAAGGACCGAAATCACACAATGCCCCGGCAGCAAGAGTTTGGACGCGCTTCTCCTGCCGCGGAAAGCGACAGGGCGGCTCGCGGCACAACAAAGCCGCCGACGGACCAATAGACCCGCAATAAGCCGCACTGTGCGGACGAATGTCGTAGGATCGCCGCCTGACAAATCAACAGCCACCCGGAGACTGTGTATGGCACGGCACTGTTGTGGGTGACCCAAAGGGGGTCCAGCTGAAAGGGGGTGGTGCAATAGCTTTGGGGCAATTAGATTGCAAATGGATTGCGGCGGAGAACTCTATTGCATTGTATTGCAACGAATGTATAGCACGCGAAAATCCAGCAAAACACTTGCGCCCGGGAATGTATTGCACGCCCCAAAATATATCGAAACCCAAAAAAATCTACTGCACCAAATCTATTGCACCACCCGCGTCGCTGGACCCCCATTATGGGTCAACCCGAACTGTTTGACACGAGACGCCTTCTGTACTGGATCCACTTATGAACCCGATGCCCGGTAACTGGCACCGAGTTGTACCCGAAGGGAACGCAGGGCCCCCCAAAGGAGCACAAGCCAAGGCACCCGCCGCATACGGCTCAGACACCGACGCGCGTTGACCAAACAAGTTGCCGATCTACCCCCCCAAGATCCGCAAATGACACCCCGGCTGGCACTGACGCCCCAGCCGACACTCCCATGGAGGAAAGAGCCAGAGCCCCAACCGCCTCCGCGGTAGGATGATCCTGGGGAGGGTGTGCACTCCCACCCCCCCCACACGACTGGCTCAGAGGATGTCCGGCCCGAGCATAATCAAGAGAATTCAAACACCGCAGAACTCGGCCATATCTCTTTAGCGACACTACAGGGGGCACCCCGAATGGGGTTGGGGTTGGCCACGTCCATTGCCCTCATCCCTCCAACATACACACACACACACATCCTGGATGCCCAAAACCTTGGCGGGGGCGTGGGCCGCGGCGAGAACTGTGACCCCGGCCCTCCCCCGCCCCACCTCCCTGTCCATCCACCGCCTCCCCTCGACCATCTGCTCTTCCCCACCACCCTCGGCCTTCTCTCACGCTCTGGCGAGGAGAGGGCATGGGAACGATTGGCACCGAAGCTGGCGAACGCTAGCGTGTAGAGCTACCCCGAAGACGGAGCTTTCTTCTGAGCATGTTGCTTAGCACCGTTCACAGATCGGCACGGAAGCCGCCATGACGGACGGGGGCCCCGAGGGAAGCGGAGCATGGACCCCAGTGAGGTCCTCGGGACCAGCTTCCCATCCTGAGCAATCCGAATACAGTCGCAAGGCCCAGGAGGAGTGAAAAGCCTCCATATGAGCCCTTTCCCGCATGGCCCCTCCTTCACGGAGACCTCTCCATGACCCCTCTCCCTCAGGGCCCCCCCCCCGTCTTCATGGCGACCTCTTGCATGCTCCTTCGCGGCGGCAGTCTTGCTGCATGGCGAAAACATTGCTCCAGGGTGACAACGAGACTCGAGCCGCCGGGAGACCTGCGCCGCGGGGGCGCAGCGGCCACGCGGGGGCACCAGCCGCGGGGTTCCGCGGTTGTGCCACGGACGAATCGCGCACACACAACGCGACACCGACCCAGCGCCAACGCGGGGGTTCGACGGCGTAGCCGTCCCAGCCCAGCCCCAGGTCTGCACCCAGGGCGGGTGGGAGGGTTTAGGAATCAGGGCGGGTGGCCGTCCTGCAAACTTCATAACTTGAGCAAGGGCGGACCGTCCCGGCATTCCTATAGGCGTACCACAAAATTGTCTTAGAACAACTGTTCTAAGAACAAAACCGTGTTCTTAGAGTATACGCCCGATGTGTTAAGACAAGACAGAGTCAGCCAGAAATGTTCTCAACACCTTTCGCGCAAACCACAAAGGGCTCCTAGAACATTCTTTGGTGCGCCTATAGGCGAGCCAGGACGCTTCGTCACTGCTTGAATAACCCTTTCCCCCGCGGGGGGGGCCACGGGGCCAAGGGCGGTCGGCGGGGCAGCGGCCGCGCGACCGGGGGCGCGCCAGGGGGGGGGCGCCAAGGCAAGAGAGCAGGGAGGACGCGGCGTCGTCGCCGCTTTTCGGGCAGCGTCGTCGTCGTCGTCGAAAAAGAAAATGGAAGACGGCGAATATAAGTGCGCCAGATCCGAAGGGCGGTTGGGTCGAGAGAGAGAGAGAGAAAGAAAAAGAGAAAGAAAGAGCGAGAGAGAGAGCGCTGCTACCGCCCACGACTCCCAGTCAGCAAGCCGTAGACCCCGACGTCCCCACGAAGGACGGGAGAGGGGCCAGCAGCCCACCGAGGAGGGGGGCAGAAGCTAGGAACGCCAACAGCGACGGCGGCCGCGGGCGCGGGGCGAAACGGCCCAGCGAAGACCCCGAAGCCGCCGAGGTCGGCGAGCAGCACCAGCACGTGCCACGCCCAGGACCGCGCAACGCGTTCCCGTGGGTAAAGGGCCGCCTGGAACAGGCGCTCCTCCACGTGACTGAGGTACTCAAAGAAGACGAGCACCCAGCACATATGGATCCCAGACACCCCACAGGGCCAGGGCCGAATAATAATCTGAACAGAAACGAGCGCGAAGCGGCAAAAGGCTTACCACTCCGAAAACAGCTCCTCACCCTCATCATCTTCATTGCTGACGCGAACGGGCTCACCAAGAGCCAACAGCACATCAAACTCCAGACCGCAATCCTGCAGCAGCGCTGCCGTGCCCAGGGGCCCCGACGGCTCAGCGCGAACTACCCCCGAGGCCTCGAGAGGACAGTGCCCGAGAGCGGGTCCTTCCAAGATTTTGCACGACAAATGGCCCTCCTCGTACTGTCGCTGGGCCTCCTGGAACACAACAACCCCACATGTTTCTTCATCGACTGACGGCGCCTGAGGTTCTCAAAGTGACGCGAGTTCTCCGACACCCTCCCGCCTCCTCGGTGCCTGCCACAACACATCTGGTCAAGCCCGCGGTGATTCCGACTCCCTGCGTCCGTGTACTTACAGCAGGCCGTGCAGAAAACCAACGCATAACCTTCTCCATCCACTGGGCACTCCAGCAGAGAGTGTCCGTTGATGAGCCACGGCCATGGGAGGACTGCCTCGCGAGCCGCCGCGTCCTGGACAGGGGTAATCACGCTGTCCTCGTCCGCGGCAGGACACACATAGTCTCTCATGGCTTCGTCCTGCTCATAATACCACACCCCGAACTTAGCCATATACTGCAGCAGTTCCGAGTGGAGCCTGTGCGCGCTTCTCGCCAGTTTGACCAGGACGGGGTCCGCACATTGGAAAGATGCTCCAGCCTTGGCCAAATCGTCTGCCTCAGCATTCCCATCCCGACCAAACTGAGGAATGACCCCATCTCTGACGTCCACCATCGGGGTATGCGCCTCAACGTGGTGGGCTCCACCCTTGCAGAAGTCCTCCGCTCCAGCCGCTCGTCGCCGCAAATGTGCACGTAAATTGCTGTGCCCCACTGCTGATTCAAGACGATGGCAACAGCGAGCCGACCCCTTGCAGTCCAACTTCATAACATAACAGCCGAGAATCAACCTGCTCGCCATCATGATCGCATAGTCCTCGCCATCTCGAGCCACTTGGCACGGGCCCTCATGTCGCGGTACGGCACCATAAAAACGCGCCACCCTCTGCCTCTGGTCGTTGTACAATACAACTGATAATCTTGCCGATTTCAGCTCTTGGTACATGACATCACAAGCACTCCCAACCACAAACACCGTGCAGCCTGTAGTGGACGGGATGCCAACCCCATCCATGCCAAAAATATCCTTGTCAGCCGATCTGCCAGCGCCTCCAAAAGCCTGTCCGACATGCGGCAGCAGCCCACGGGCAAAACGTTCTTGCCTGTCCTCCGTGCTATGCATCAGGCTGGAGGACGCCTGCTGCAGAGTGGGAGTGATCAGGGTTCGGCGCTTGGCAGCAAACGCATCGCAGACGAAGAAACGGTGGAAGAGGGTGTCTGGGGCCGCCTGGCATCTGACGCAAAGGGGCGACTCACCACAGAAAGCGCGAGCCACCCGCACTTGCGTCCAATGCCCTCCTGTGAGGGATCTACGCTCATAAGGTGTGAGCGCTTTCCCCCGGAGGGCCGCATGGATGGGACCCCAGGCACTGGGCCCTGTATGTGTGGCCCCTGCCCTTTGCAGTTGACTCCGGGCATCCCTGTCGATCCGCCTCCTCACCCCCAGCTTCACGATGTGGGCGATGCAGGCAGCAGACTAGCGCAGAAGGTCCCAGTCTGTGCCGTGGTCATCCTGCAAGACCGCCGGCTCCTTGAGCAAAGCCGGCGCAAAGCTCCGCGAGGGAGCTGCCGGGGGGAACGACGCCGACTCACAGCATGGTGTAGCTATCCAGCAAATCCTGAACGCCCGCTCCGCTGGCTCCTTGAGCTTCCAGCAAATCCTGTGCATGCTCAGAACCCGCGCGGCAACGGGGTCTCTGCTCTTGACCCACGCATGGGGGTCCCCCAATAGGCCATCATCCTTGCTCATCAAGGCCCTGACAACATCAATAGATATCGCATTCAAAGAAAGTATCACGATGTATGTGTGGATCGCATCTGCAATGGCGATAACCAGCGGGTCAGTCTGCCAGCCACTTTCCGCGCACATCAACGATAAACCCACAAAAGACCCAGGCACCCACGCGATAGAGCAGCGCCAGAGGGCTTTTGATAATACCCCTCCTCGACGAACTGCTGTTTTCTGCTTGGCTAGGCCTCGCAGGGCCCGAATCCTGTCCCCTTTCCATGGCGTCACGTATCCTCGACAATTGTGTGCCAAAGCGCCTATACCGCCCGTCACAAGCATCGCCACCCAAATCTTTGTGGTAAGCATACCTCCCAGGAAAAGATTACCCAGGCGGCCACAAATCCGCGACCTCATCTTCAATCAGCCCAAACACGTCACCGTCACTGCACAAAAAAAAACATCTTATCCCAAAACAGCGGCAGCCCTCTGGCCTGCAGGAGGCCAATCGTTTCCTTAAAGGCGAAACTCATCCCCCTGGCGACAATCTGCGGACCTCCCACGGCATGCAGGCTGATGTTGTCCATGAGGTTTGTGCTACGTACTGTGTGTATGACAGCGAAGATGAAGAGGAGGAGGGGGAGGAGGAGGTGGAGGAAAGGAGGAGGAGGAGATGGGAAGAGAGGGAGGGGAGGAGAGCGGGAGTATAAGGAGGGAGAGGCCCCAGACCCCCAACCGATTGAAAGCATCTACGTAAACAAAAACTCTCTGTCTCTCTCTCTCTCTCTCTCTCTCTCCCCCCCTTTCTCTCTCTCTCTCTCTCTCTCTCTCTGCTCTCGGCATCCCGCGGGCCTTCGACGAGCCCAAGCGGCTATCAATAAGCGGCCCATGATGAAAAGCCGGCCCCGGGGAAAGGGGGAACGCATCGGGGATTCCAGGACACCCGAGTTGAAAAAAACATACATCGGATCTCCAGGGGGTACGCAATTAAGGATATTGCGACCGTGTCGGTTACGATATTGAACCGTAGGTTGCCTTCCGTTTGGCCTGCTTTACTGTAAGCATTAGGCAAAATCCCCCGAGCGATCCTAAACAGGTGGTCCTGTCGACTACCTGAAGCCTGCTTTGGAAATGGGCATCCAAGCTTGGCCAACTGTGGGGCCGCGAAGCTCCCACATGACCCACATAACCAAATCCCCAGCCCAGCTTGAAACTCTACATGATGGGACGGGCCGCCCGGCCCACCCACGCCCCGCAGATGGGCACCCTACAACGGTGGGAAGGCTCAAAGATTATGCTATCGAGGAACCCCACATACTTATAGTATGGCTGGAGTGATGATAGCTGAAGCATGTGAGGATAATGTCGGTGGCCGTTGCCCCGCCGATACCGTTGGTGACGCCAGTCGAGAGGAGAGGTGGAGAGGAGAACCGCCGCGCCCGCCACACTTTGCGAGCCCGAAACGGATAGCGACCGCACCCCCAAGGCACCCCCTGCGGCGTCGAGGAAGTGCAACGCCTGCCACACCAGCGCACCCCCGGTGGCGTCGAGGAAGTGTCACGCCTGCCACGCGTCGCGGGCCCGAAACGGATAGCGACCGCTTCCCCAGCGCACTCCCTTCGGTGTCGAGAAATAGCCACGCCTGCCACGCTTTGCGAGCCCGAAACGGATAGCGACCGCAACCCCAACGCACCCCCTGTGACGTCCAGAAAGTGCCACGCCTGCCACATTTTACAAGGCCGAAACGGATCGCGACCGCCCCCCCCCCCGCGCACACCCTGTGGCATCGAGAAGGTGCCACGCCAGCCACACGTTGCGGTCCCGAAACGGATAGCGACCGCACCCCCAGCGCACCCCTTGTGGCGTCGAGGAAGTGTCACGCCTGCCACGCTTTGCGAGGCCGAAACGGATAGCGACCGCACCCCCAACGCACCCCCTGTGGCATCGAGACAGTGTCACGCCTGCCACACGTTGCGAGCCCGAAACGGAGATCGACCGCACCCCCAGCGCACCCCCTTGTGGCGTCCAGAAAGTGCCACGCCTGCAAGGCTTTGCGACAGTGTCGTGGATAGCGGCCGCCCTGAGAGACCACCCCTTGCGCACCACATATGGTTTCCAGAAAGTGCCACGCCTGCTAGGCTTTGCGACAGTGTCGTGGATAGCGGCCGCGCTGAGAGACCACCCCTTGCGCACCCCCCCTGCACCCCCCCTATGGTGTCCAGAAAGTGCCACGCCTGCTCGGCTTTGCGGCAGTGTCGTGGATAGCGGCAGCGCTGAGAGACCCCCCCCTGCGCACCCCCTATGGTGTCCAGAAAGTGCCACGCCTGCTGGGCTTTGCGACAGTGTCGTGGATAGCGGCCGCGCTGAAAGACCACCCCCTGCGCACCCCCTATAGTGTCCAGAAAGAGCCACGCCTGCTAGGCGTTGCGGCAGTGTCGTGGATAGCGGCAGCGCTGGGGGCCCCCCCCCTGCGCACCCCCTATGGTGTCCAGAAAGTGCCACGCCTGCTGGGCTTTGCGACAGTGTCGTGGATAGCGGCCGCGCTGAAAGACCACCCCCTGCGCACCCCCTATAGTGTCCAGAAAGAGCCACGCCTGCTAGGCGTTGCGGCAGTGTCGTGGATAGCGGCAGCGCTGAGAGACACCCCTCTGCGCACCCCCTATGGTGTCCAGAAAGTGCCACGCCTGTTAGGCGTTGCGACAGTGTCGTGGATAGCGGCCGCGCTGAGAGACCACCCCCTGCGCACCCCCTATGGCGTCCAGAAAGAGCCACGCCTGCTAGGCTTTGCGGCAGTGTCGTGGATGGCGGCCGCGCTCAGAGACCACCTGCTGCGCACCCCCTTATGGTGTCCAGGGGTGCTGTGCTGTGCTGTGCTGTGCTGAGCTGTGCTGTGCTGAGCTGAGCTGAGGTGCTGTGCTGTGCTGTGCTGTGCAGTGCTGCGCTAAGCTGAGCTGTGCTGAGATGAGCTGTGCTGTGCTGTGCTGTGCTGTGCTCTGCTGCGCTGTGGTGCGCTGTGCTGTGTGAGAAGAAGAAGGAGGAGAAGGTGAGTGAGCCTCGCGGGTGCGACGCGGCAGGGAAGAAGACCAGAACCTCACGAAACATGTGGGAATAACGCCATCGACTATCCTCGGGTCGAAACCATGGGTGTCCACCAAACCTTTTTGTTCTAGCTTCGGAGGTCGAGCTTCTGCACTGCATACAAGAATTTCCAAATTCTGAGGGGCAGTGCCGAGTCAAAAAAATGAGGGCGCTAGAGGCCTGGGACCAAGATGCCCGCCACGGGCTCATCGAAGCTCCTCGGAAACACAAATCCTTTCAGCCTTCCGTGTCGAAAAAGCGCGGGTCAAAATACGCACCCTGACGGGCTACGCAACTGTTCCTTATGGGACATGCGCTCGCTCGCTCTGACGCCAAGAGACGGACGGCGGCAGCGGCAGCTTTGACGAGCTTCTCAGCAGCAGCGCGGCCTATCGCAAGGAACGACGGAGTTTGCCCTTGCAAACTTCGTTCCCCTCTCAGCGGAAACGAACTGACAGGGCCGTGCTTTGGAGGGAAGGTTCCTGCCAGAGGAGGACACAAGGAGGAATAGGGATGCAGGATGACGAGATGAAGAAGAGGGAGCAAGCTTAAGAATAGCTGAGAGAAGAAGCGCACGGGGGAAGAAGAGCATGGGAGTTGGAGCATAGGAGGAGGGGGAAGAGGAGAAAGAAGAAGGAGGAGGAGCCCCCCACCAGGGAAAGAGATGTTCGATGGCGAAATGGTGGACGCGGCATAGGACTTGGAGCTCGTTCCTCACGTTGGTCTTGCTGTTAAAGTCGTCCTCCAGCTCGGCGCGGCGCGGGTTCCTGTTTCGGGGACGTCCACGGAAGGCAAGGGGGAGGGGGAAGGAGGATAAAGGAGCTAGGAAAGGGGAGCGACCCTTGAGGAGGGAGGACGGGGGAGGGACGAGGGAGGTAGGAGGGGGACTTGAAGTGGTATGGCCTCATTGGCGGGCGGAGCTCCCTGGAGGCAACACCCTGGAAAGCACGCCGGTCGCAAACGCCCATCGTGTTCGACATTCAGGGCCACGGCAAGCAGTGGGCAAGACGAGGGCGAGCGCCTTGGGCTTCCCCATGGCAACGCTGGCTTAGTCCACTTACCATGTCCTGTCTATGGTGGCCTTTGCCGCACTGGGCCAACATTGGGTTCGAGGATCGGATGCCAACGCATGCCCGTTGACACGGGCAAGCAAACATGATTTGAAACAATTGCGGCGTTCGCTTCTCCGCGCGTCGAAATCCACCACCGTGCGTTGTGCACGTTGAGGTGTAGATTGATAGCAAAGTCTGTCTTGTCAGTATGCTGTGATTTCCTAACCCCCCCCCGTCTCTCGACGCACCCAGCTGCATGCATCGCCCCCTCTTCCCGAGGCCTCACCCCCCCGCAAAATACGACAGGTTCGCGCTCCCAAGACCCAGATGCTTCCAAGAAAGGGCCCCGAGACGGCCCAAGAGGCCCAAAGGAGCCCCAAGACGGCCCCCAAAAAGGCGTACGAGGGTGAACACGAACCGACAATTCGAGCGTTCCGCCCCCAGAAGGCTCAGGAGGCCCCAAGAGGGCCAAAAGAAATCAGCAGAGGCCCCCAAGGGGCCCCTTAAAAGCCCCGAGAAGCATAATACACTGATTTCCCATAGCGTCTTCAATGTTTTCGAGGTTGCCTTTTTTTTAAACTTCCGACGCTCCAAGATGGCTCGAGAGGCCCCCAGGACTCCCCCGAGACGGCCCAAGGGCCCCCAAGACAGCTGCAAGACGGCCCAAGAGGGAGACGGCCCAGGAGGCGCCCACGAGTGCCGAAAACCCCCACGACTGCCCCTCTAGAAGGGCCCCAGAGCGGGAACGCGAACCCCGAGTTCGAGCCCTCTGCCCCCAGGAGGCCCCCGGCAGGCCCCCTCGTCTCCTCGAACAGCTGCCGCCCAGAATGCTGCGCTGGCACAGCGGCGGAATTGCCGGAGGCAGCTGGGCATCCTGCGAGCCCAGAGTCTGCGGACCAGGGGAGCCTCGAGGGTGAGCCTGGGGATCGGGGGCGAACCACCGCCAGCGAGGTGCAGAAATGTCTTGCGTACCCCAGACCGGCCGGCTGGAAGAAGTAGGTAGAAGCATGGAGTGGGATGGCGTTGAAAACACATTGGGCTCCCGCCCGCCCCCTGAGGACGAGGAAAGAGGGACGACCACTCCACTCTTTCAGCAGGAAGGCGCCAAATGAGAGTGGGATGCGGGCACCCAAACATACCGTCTGTCTGTACCGAATGTCACACAGATCCGACAAAACCACACACGGTTGGCGGCGTCACAAAACATGGCACGCGAACAGTGCGTGACTCCCCCCCCAGATTTGAACTCCTGACCACGGGGCCGCCTGAAAGAGATCACCACGGAGAGGGCGAGGCGGGATGCAACCGGTGCCCAGCCAGGCGGTCCTGGCTGCCCTGCCAGCGCTGGAGAAACAACTGACGCATCGCCGCCCCTGCGCACCCAAACTGTGGGCGGAGGCGAGCGGAGCGATGGCAGCAGGCGAGGGCGGCGGAGGCGGAGGAAGGGAAGGAGACGACAGCCTTGAGCTGCCTGCGCGGCGCCCGAGGGCGTACAGGACCACCATGGCATCAGAACATTTCGTGGGAGGAAGAGGAAAAGGAGGAGGAGGAGGAGGAGGAGGAGGAGGGGAATGGGAGGGCGGGGACAGGAGGGCGGGAAGTACAGGTTCTCCTGAAGACGATTTTCAATGGCGGGAGCCATGTTCGAAGGCGGGAGCAATGTCATGTGGGAGGTGGATTAGGGCGTTGCCTCGTCCAACACCCTGCATTCCCCTTCTGGGAGTGGGGCCCCTCCCCCTCGGTATGGACGGGACGTTTCGCAGGAATTGGAGTGTAAAGATCAGCCAGATGGCCCAATATGGTTCAGTATGTCTCAAACATGGAACAAGATTGTCAAATGTCGCTGAAGATGGCTTCCAACATAACCCAAACAGCCCCAATATCGTACCAAGGCGGCTCTAGTTGGCCACGGAGTTTCCCAAGGACGCCCCCAAGAGGCAAAAACCCTTCCAACACCTCGGAAGGAATTACGTAGCGGTTTACGTTCTCATCGTGTCTCCTGCTCCTCCCCCCCGTCGCTTTCACTTGCAGGTGATGACGAGGAGGATGAGGGAGGAGGAGGAGGAGGAGGGAGGATGAGGAGGGAGGAGAAGGACGAAGCGGGGAGGAGGAGAAGGAGGAGGAGGACGACGAGGAGGAGGAGCAGACATCAGACGTTGTGGTCTGCCCTGGGAGGGAGCACGCGAACAAGGAAGCACGGCCCGACCCGCCCACCGCGCAGGGCGCCCCCTGCAGGCGCACCGGGGCCCGCGCGCGCGCGCCCGCGCCGGTGCGGGGGCGGTCCTCAGGCTCTGCCGCGGGGCGTCCAGGGCCTCTCCGGGCGGGGGGCGGGCGCGGAGCCTCCCCGAGGGCCGAGGTCTGCGGGCGCTTGCGTCGGTTCCCGTGCGGCTTCCAGCCTCGGGGAGCTCTCCAGCAGCTGCGCCTCGCCGAGAGCGTTCCAGGGGTGCCTGCATCGTCCCGAACGGCCGCCGGGAGTCACAGTCAAAGCGCGTATCAAGGATGGGTGGTGAGGTTAGTTCGGGCATGTCCTCCTACAGGAGGGTTTTGGACGAAAACATAAAACTACTGGAAAACAGCCCCAAAATGCTCAAACATAAAAACAAAATGGTCCCCAGACTAGTTTTTACTATTCTTGAGTGCTCCTCCTGTAGGGGGACGTGCCCGACTTGATGGTAAGGACAAAAGACCCTTGGAGGCCGAAGTTTGGATTTGGGGGGCAGCGGGCGACCAGGGAAAAAAGGCAAAGGACGGAGCGCAGAGGCGCCAGGACACGAGGGTACCTTAGATGAGGGCGCGCGCGTCCTAACTTTAGCGCATTGTCTGTAAGACCCTCCGGGACGTGCCCTTACTGCGCGCATGTCCTTACTGGGCGCGAATCGCCCAGGGGAGAGCAATACGTGTACGAGAAGGCGCCGACGGTCCCTGCCTTGGCCGATGGATGCTCCCGGGCGAATTCGCCCCCGCCGCCACCTCCGAGACCCGAACGCCGCCAGGCGTCGGAGAAGGGGGGGCGGCTGCGGAGCCTTCCCCGAGAGATCCCGGCGTCGCCATGTCTGCCACACCGGGCGTTCTCGCCCGAGCCCCGGGGCCATAGATCGACGCGGCTCGGAGAATGCCGCAAACATGCAGTGGAGGCCAGTCCACAAGAGACCGTCCACAAGACCCAAACCCTGAGACGCCAGGGCGTTCATGGATTTTCGGTGGGGGAACGTCACGCTTTCCATCGCAAAACCGTCGAAACCCAAGAAACCCAGGGCACCCTGGAGGCATGCAGGGCGTTTCTTGGCATGGGTCTCCACTGTATGAGGTCTGCGGCTGCGGTCGAAATGTTTCGCGGTGTTGCATTTTTGCCGCTCACAACGTCGGATCTCAGGGTTCGCCCATCGCGTCACGAACGCTCGCGCAGCGCGCCCTCTCGAGGCCCGTGCGAATTCACGCCCGCGAGTGTCATCGCTTCGCTCCCGACGGGTGCGTGCTTCTGGTACGCCCAGAAGGTGAACGGAAGGAATGTCGACGATGACCGGCAGCGTGAAGTCGGGCCTGTCTTCCTACAGGCAGATTTCGGACGAAAAATTAAAAAACAGTCCGGAAATACCCCAAAATGATCCGAAACAGTCAAAAAATCGTTCCCAGACTGTTTGTCAACTATTTTTGACAATTCCTCCTGTAGAGGCAGGGGCCCGACTTAACGGCAGCGGCCGCTTTTGGGCGGGCGGCGCTCATCCCAAATAGACAACGTCCGCGGCGGCACCAGCAGCGAGGGACGGCAGAGGCCATTAAGCCCACCAACGACTAGAGGGGGCACCCGGGGGACGGCGCGCGCGACGGGGGGCACTCCCAGGCATCGAGGGGGCAAAAATGTTTGGCTTTTCGCTGCCATCGCCCCCTTTTCGAAGGGCAATCCCAGGCATATAGGGGCAGCCTCAGGCGTCGAGGGGCATCGAGAGCAATTTTCGGTTTTTCGCTGCCATCCCCAGCATCGGGGGGGAATCCCAGGTATCGAGGGACCCGCTGCATCCGCCCCCTTTTCAAAAGTGGGCGGATGCAGCGGGAGTGAAGACCGACAGCGGATCCTAGCACTGAGCAGGGTTTGCTCCATCCGCGCTGGGGCCTCCACGCCTTGTTACAGGCTCATCTGGACACTGACATGTAGCCCGAGCTGTATGAGCTTACATCGACTCACCCAGACAACTTGACGACGTCATGTTTCCACTGCGCGACCCCACAAATCCTGACCCCCTTCCCCAGGGGTCTTTTCATCCCATACCGTTTTTGATGTATCCCGGGGCCCGATGACGGGCCCTAAAATTGGGTCGGGCATGTCCTCCTACAGGCGGATGTTGGAAGAATCATCGAACACTGTCAGAAAGATTCAAACATAATTCAAATAGTCCAAAAATCGTCCCGATGTTTGAAGATTCCTCCTGTGGAGAGGGACATGCCCGACTGAACCCTAAAAAGGAACTGAAGGAACAACGCCCTGAGCCCCCGAGTGAAGCGCGCTTGGCTTCGAGCGATCCCCACCCCGAGAGCGCGAGGCGAGATCCCCCAGGAGCCGCGAACTTTTGGAGCCCGGCGGCCGCGGCATGCAGCCGCCGCTCGTCGAAGACGCGCGGACGGCGGAAGATACTCCATGGGAGCACCGCCTGGCGGCCGCGGCTCGCAGTGTGTGCGAGGCCGGTCGGGAGCTCGCTTCTCTGTAAACCCCACGAGGGGAACGAACCATGACATAAATGCGAAGCGGGGATTTATCCGTATCCACCGCCTGGGAACCATTTCGGTCCCCGGGGGCCCGAATATATCCATATCCACCGCCTGTCGGGGTCCCCGAAAATTAATCCTCCAGGCGGTGGTCATGCCTCGGACTAAACATAAAAACTCAGAGGTCCGTGCGGATTTCTCGGATCGGCGCTCGACCCCCCTCCCTGGCGCGCGGAGCCCCTCCCTGGCGCGCGGAGCGCGCCTGGGGCGGCGCTGGAGGCACCGCCAGGGGGCCCCAGCGCCGATCCGAGAAATCCGCGCGGACCTCCGAATTGTTATGTTTATGTCATTGTTCGCCCCCCTACTAACATCCCCAGTCTGTCGGGTGGGGGACACGCCATCTCGTCGGAGGCTCAGGCACGTAGAAATCCGCGCGAGCCTCGAGGGGAGGAGGCAGCAGAGACGACGGGGGAAGGGCGACGACGACGGCGGCGAGGATGAGGAAGACCAGAGTAGAACTCCGCGCGCCACAGCGACGGTGCGAATCACTCGGAGGCCCAGAGTCCACTCCCCGTCAGGAGTTGCAGGTGTTCGTGCGCCACTGCGGCGAGCGTCACAAGGAACGACGAGGCTCCCACCAGCCTGCCAGCTGCTCATCCTGCGCCCTCCTTCAGACAGGGACAGAACTCCGACGCCGTGATTTTTCCACAGCGGACCCCGCAGGTCTGGACCTGTACCCTGGGATCGAATCCCACCAGCCCTCTGAGCGTGAGTGGTGTAGGGCGTGTTCTCTTCTATCGTTCCTTCTTCCTCTTCGGGGAGTGGTTCACCCCTCCTCCTACACCCTCCCCCTGGACCTGGACGGGGCGCCCCGCGACCTGTTGGAACATCCAAAATGGCCCATGATGGCTCCAAGAGGGCCCCAGAGGCCCCGAAGCCTCAAGATGGCTCCAAGATGGCCCAAGAGGGCACACAGAGAGGCCCAAGAGGGATCCAAGACGGCACCAAGAGCGCCGAAGAGCGTTCCAAGAGCGCTCCAAGAAGGCCCCAAGAGGCAATTTAAGGGACCCTCAAGGGGCGCCAGTACGTAAGGACCCCCCCTTTTTTGATTGATGTCCTATAAGGTTGCCTCGGGAGGGCCTCCAGGGCTCCCAAGAGGGCCCCAAGAGGCCCCAAAGAGGCCCCCAGAGGTGCCTGAACGGCCCCAAGAGGCCTTAAGAGGCACCCATCAACGGCACCCAAAATGCCCAAAGGGGCCCCCGAGACCGCTAAGAGGCATCCCAGACGGCCTAAGAGGCCCCCCAGGAAGCCCCTGGTCATCCAAGTCCCACCAGCCCTTTGGGCGTGAGTGGTTTAGAGAGCTCTCTCTGTCCTCAACCCCCCTTCTTCCCCTTCGGGGAGGGGTTTACCCCTCCCCCTACCCCCTCCCCCTGGACCTGGAGAGGGCGCCCCGCGGGTCGTTGGAGGGGTCTTGTTCGACTCCTGGGAGGGCCAAAAAACGACGACCCTCACGAGGATTCTGGCCCCGAGGGGGGGGAGGGAGTTTGGTCCCTGAACTCGTCGTTGAAGTAAAACTCATTGATTGTACTATGGTGTTGGCCCCATTTTGGCCTTCTGAGGGGGCCGCGTTCCCCGTCCTTCATAGCAAAACCATTGATTTTACGAAGGTTTGGGGCTCATTCTTGAAACATCAGGGAGCAACGCTCATTTGCGCTTCTGAGGAGGTCGCAAGAGGCCCCAAGATGGCCCCAAGAGGCCCCCAGGAGGCTCCCAAGAGGCCTCCAAGCGGCCCCCCAGAGGCCCCCAAGCGGCCCCAAGAGGCCCCCAAGAGGCCCCCAAGAGGCCCCCAAGAGGCCCCACGAGGCCCCAAGAGGCCCCCAAGAGGCCCCCAAGAGGCCCCCAAGAGGCCCCACGAGGCCCCAAGAGACCCCCAAGAGGCCCCCAAGAGGCCCCCAAGAGGCCCCCAATAGGCCCCACGAGGCTCCAAGAGGCCCCCAAGAGGCCCC